ATTTATTAAGGATGCGTCGGAAGCGACCGAACGCATTGCTGCGAGACTAGGCGTCGGAATTACACACCGTCCCAAGGCTACCATGCGCAGCCGAGTTATGCGAATCAAGGACCGCTAAAATCCTAGTGAGCAGTCAGGCGTCGTGTATCGCATACCATGTCAAAATTTTCCCCGAAGCTACATGCGAACATAATCGAACGGTACAACGGGGTGACGCATCATCGCAAGTGGCCACCCATACCTACGAGACCGGTCACGAGTTTAATTTCGCAGCTGCGAGGTTAATCGCGCACACTGGCCACAAAACAGGCCGCGAATTGATTGAAGCCTGGGTCTCAGATGAGAACTCATTCAATCGATTTAGCGATCTGGCGCCGGCATACGTAGCAATGCGCAGGCATCTCCGGAGCGATGGCACTATCAGTTGACGGTTCCCTCCCCCCTTTCCCCTCCCCCATAACGATTGATTGGTCCCTGCGTCCTATAACTGCTGCTTGTTTTTTGTGTACGCCTTTTATCTCTGACGATGGACTCTAGAAGGAGCCCGAAAGCTCAGAAGCTCGAAACGCCTTCTATTTCTCTATCTAAATACTAATAACTTGTGAAGACTGAGTGAGTCGATCCACATCAAGCGACAGGACGAATTTCATAACGTAAATTGCAGTTGCTCGTAAATTGTTTTTCTGCATACGTTGCGTAACCCATCTGGCACCGATGGCTGATCAACCATCGAACATTCAACAGGACCTTATCAGTGGATAACACACATCTAAACCTGTTATATCAGTAAAAGTAAGTAGCATTGTTTTAGTTGCAGTACTTAGATGAAACAGTTTTTTAGCTTATCAGTTCTAACTCGGGTAGATTCTCGTCTGCTGTGTGGTTCGCGCATATTTCCACAAGCCAGATACTGTTTTGTTTAATAAATTAATCGATATCATCCCCACGGGGAATGCGCTGTATTTTGACGAACATAATGACAGCGGTAGATCTAACTGCGATTTTGTTTCTTAGGACATCTTGTGTTGCAGGTGGGAATGTACGTAAATTTAAGCATTTTAAATGCCAAAGTCATCGAAATGGTATTTCCTTGTACAGACTTTTTGTGTCATGCCAGAAAGTGACAGTTATCATACGCAGCGAATCAAAATGTTTGACAATGAATGACAGTCTTCTTCGCTGGCAGTCCATTTTTTTAAAACAAACAAAAGCTTGGGATATACCTTCTTGGGCCTGTTCGTGCAAACACCATCTTCAGTCTTCAGTGCCCAAAGTCACTAGTCCACTGGAGATCGTTGACCCAGTTATTTATGAGTGGCATAAAGATTGCGGTGGCCTAAAGACTAAAGTATTCAGGAAAGCGACAAACACAATGCAAGTACTGAACTACAACAGCAACCTAGCAATCAGCCACAAACGCAGTTGCGTAAGGACGCTGTAGGGGCGTGTTGAGACGCACCGCAGCGAACCCGAAGATAAAATTGCCGAGGTACAATACCTTTGACGGGTGTTCAGGGAAAATGGCTACCCGCTCAACTTCGTCAACCGGTGCTTGCACAAAACAGGTGGCCAACAA